CAGTAGTAGCAAGCAACCTGCGTGAGTGAAAGTGTCCCAACTGCTTGGGCTCCTGCCATCCTCAGCAACAGCACCCTCATACTATTACATGCAGAAAAAAAACATCAAGATTCATCAAGTAAACACTCTAGAACTTTCAGCTCAAACGAGATAGACTACTTACTTGATATGCCGAGGTGCCAGCTCCAAAGACGAATCCCAGTGGGAAATCACTTCTTGTGAAGCCAGGATCAGCCGCAGTTGCATCCTGAACCCAGAGGGACAGCAGGAGGTAGAAGAAGGCAGCAGCACCCATCTCTGATCTGTGTTTTTCTGTGCATAATGGGTTCGTTCGCTTCGAGAGAAGATTTATATCAGGATTAGTCTCACTCTCAACCGCAACCTTACCTCGTGAAAGAAGCCAGATTAAACAACTTTCATCTAGTAACGTCAGTCTTCTGTGGGGACATGTGCAGCTAGTTAAACGTGTGCTACTGCCTGGTGCGTGCTTGCACATGATTTTTTGCCGCTCATGATCACGAGCCCCATTAATTTTTTTGCATGGATAAACACAGATCAGTATGAGTAGCTGTCACAGATTAAGAAAAGACACGCAGTTAAAAAAATATTCAACAAAGAGTGAATTTTATTGACCCGAAATGACCCATAAAATGGATATAAACATAACAAGCACTCATCCAACCTCTGCATAGTTACGACGCATACAAGTTTAGGCTACAAGGTCGGGGTCGGGCGGGACGGCGTGCAGTGCGTCCCTATGTTTACTGAGAACAGGCCACCATAGAACAAATTTGGGCTAGTGGAGTAAGATTTTACAGAGAAAAAAAATAGATTTGGAGAACTAAAATTTTGGGGATCTAAGAGCTAGTGTTTAATCCCTTTAACCAACAAAACTTCCTTCATAGTAGTAGGTTTGAGGATCTGCTAGAGATGCTCAGCAGTATGTGATGGCTGAATGTGCATTCTCACCGGGTTCCTCCAAGGACCAACAGGCCACCACTCAAACCATTGCTCTGAATGATGCACATCCATGAACTCCATCCCCGCGACTGACAAAGACCGGGCCACAGGTTTCTTCACATCTAATCTTTGCACGGACCCTCACATAGCCACATAGCTTTCATCTTCTGACTCTGCTTCTGTAACTCAATGCTTGTCTGAAAGCTATGTACAATATATATGTAAGCGTAACCATGATGTTTTTTATATCTGAACTCATGGTTTTCTGTAACAAGGGTCAATGTAATGTAACAGCAAAGAAATGCATCACGTACAATTCGAGCGTTTCGTTTCTTCAACTTGCTCTGAAAGTGATGGCTTTCTAAAGAAAATAATAATCAAGAAAATACAGTAGTGGTTACAGGAGTATTGGTTTCTAGTAATGTAATCCGAGAATCGCGCTTTCTGAATCGAAACCTGACGCGCGCGGTTGCACTGGACTCGGGAGTCAGGACAACAAGTTCAGCGCCTGGTTCATCTGCGTCGTTCTCGGCGCGAGCGCAGAGGTTCCGTTGTGCTTGAGGAAGCCGGAGTACCAGCGAGCCGAGAGCCTGGCCTGCCGCGGCCGCCTCCCGTTGGCAAAGTCGACGCGGTACAGCCCATACCTCAACTGGTACCCGGACAGGAGTTCGAACAGGTCCATGAATGCCCACGCGAAGTACCCTCTCACGTCCGCCCCGTTCCTGCACGACAAACAGAGCATCACGCAATGCATGCTGAAAGAACGGGTATAGTATGTTTGATCTGATCTTGACGCACGCACCTCATTGCGTTTAGTGTGCTTTCCATGTAGCTGCTCAGGTAACCGACCCTGTCCGTGTCATCTAGGCTGTCGTCGGCAGAACCCATACCTGAAACAAATCAGGTAACCACATGAGTAACGATGGACCTTTGTTCATCAACAGAAACACATGCTGGGAATTCTGCTTGCCATTCTCCTGGACATAGACCGGAAGGTTTCCGTAGGTTTCTTTCAGGTACTCCAGTTGAAGCTGCAGCCCTTTGGGATCACTTGGAACATTTACTGGGAAGCCCTGCACTCCAATAAAGATAATCTTTGACAGAAGCTTTTGACATCAGTTTTTAAGTGGGTGTTTCTTTTCTAATCTCTTCAAGATTTACCCAAATGGATGTACATGGAATGACCAAAATAATTGCATTTTAGCTGAAAATTAGCAACTTCTTTGCGAAACACATTGATGATCTTTATTGGAGTCTATAATATTTTTGCAAAACCCTTTGAAGATATAATAATTTTTTGTACCTGACTAGATGGTGGATCTATCCTAGAACCTGCATCATACAAAGGGTTCACAAGTTAGAACAATACATTCAGCTCTTTTCTGTTACATTAGCGTAGACCATGCTTTGAGATTTAAACGTGTTTAGAGGGATGACTCAAGACTGAACTCAGAGAAATGCCCAATTTACGTGACTGGTAAATCTCGAAAGGTTGATTGGCAGCTTGTTCTAGCAATTTAGCATTAGCAGGGCATCGTTTCACAACAGCTTGGCTAGCCTATCTTTTGCATATCAAGAGTAACACCCCCCCTCCTTTTTTTTGGTAATCATGATTCAGGAATCTCCTTGTTTGCTTGTGTGATCGTTGCTAGAAAAATGAATATCATGCCTACTATTGCACACAATTTCTAGTGCAACCACATAATTAACCGTTACATGAAGAATGAATGTCTAGGAAAAAAAGACTCAAAAAACCAGTGAAATTGCACATCCACATAGTACATAACTATGAGCAGTTAAGCAACAATTCTAGTATCACTATCCAAAAAAGATACTTACCCCTTAAACTAACTGATATGTCTGCTTTGTAGTCTTGAACGCCTGTTTCCAGAGGGCGATCATTCACGTACAGAGAGTAGTAGTGATTTATTCCAATAAAATCTAAAGAACCCTTGATAAGTTCAGACTGAACTTCCGTGAAGGGTGGAAGGCGAGAGCCAACATTCTTCTTCATTACTTGCGGGTAGTCCCCAAACACCAACGGATCTAGTATCCTGCCAGTACCACACTTAACTTAAGATCTCAACAATGCATGTATTATGCAGGTTAAACGCTTCCAGTGACAAAATGGAGGTGCAATATCATACCAGCCGAAGTAGAAATCTATACATCTCCTAGTTGCTTCTAAATCCACAGTGGAATTTGTCAATGGATAACTCCAGAAAGAGTAAATACTTATGCCAACAGCTCCTTTTTGCATGGCCTACATCCAAAAAGTTTCATTAGTTTTTTATAAGCCTATAGTTGATTAAGATATTGGACATAGGCACCGTGACAGGGAATTAACAAAGAATGTAATACTGCCACAGATCCATATTAACTGACGCTGATTTAGTACAACTTTGTACTGAATCAGCGAAAATTAATATGGATCGGAGGGAATGCTATTTTTAGATAACAAAGAATAAGAGTCTATGTACATGATGTCCCTGTTTTAAAGGAACAGGCCCAGGAAGCTAAACAAAATAAATCGACAACTCCCCCAAGAAATACTATCCTCGTTGTGTAGCCAATGCTGAAACATGTATCAATAAAAAGATGAGTTACGATGTGGTTAATGTGTAAATGTGTAATGACTTAAAATGGTGCCTCCACCCTTGAGGAAAGCTAATAAAAGTCTAGACTGTCACAGTTCATGAACCTAAGCATCACCAAAACTATTTTAAGTAAAAGATCATCCACTCACTTGATATTTTTTTCTGTACAGACTGACAACCGATGCATGCGCCAAAAGGGTATTATGAACTGCCATGTATGGTTCCACACTAGAGTCCCCAGAGGTGCACTTTGTTACTCCAAATGGATCCGAGCAACGACCAGGAGGGAATATAGCAACATCATAAGAGGCCAATGCACCAATGTTTGGCTCATTCATTGTCGTCCATGATGCAACCCTATCTCCAAACTCCTTGAAGCAAACATCTGCATATGCTGTGAAATCTTCACTGCATTTTGTGGATTTGAGAATATGAAAGGACAAAACATAATGTCGTAAGAATTATGCCGATGATATATAAAATTGCCACTACAGTAGAATTTATTTATTTGGTAGTGAAATTATATATGAACTCACACAATTCTGGGGCTTAATCATCCACCATACTCATCTTCAAGAATCTGAGGGAGATCTATATGGTGAAGTGTGATGTGGACTTGAATTCCTGGGATAAATATCACAGAGACCAGAGGGTTCAAAGTTTTATTTTGCATGCATTTCTTGAGAAGGAACATTGATTATATGAAGTATGAACCTAAGAATTGATTGCAGTTAAACATTTAAATGTTCAGAGATCTAATAAAAGTAATTACCACGATTCACTAGCTCATCAATGAGGTTATTGTAGTACTGTAGCCCTTTGGGATTGACAGCTCCGCGTCCATCTACAAACCCGAAATTTCCAGAAACAATGAGATAAATTAGAAACTAAAGCAATTTGTTCTGATGAAGGTCATGATAATTTCTGTACTTGGAATGAGCCTTGACCAGGAGATGGAGAACCTATAGGCCTCTAGGCCTGTCTCAGACATGAGCTTGACATCCTCCTGCAAAATCAGATAAGCCAAATTTCTTTCATAATTAGTAAAGCAGAGAAACGCTCAAGATTATGCAAGGCCCCATACTATTTACCATGTATTTGTGGTACCCATCTGCAGCAACATCTCCCGTGCTTTTGTCTGACATTTTGCCTGCAAAATAAAAAATCTAGGTGTCAAAATTGATCTAACTGTGATTGGTCAACCACATCAGCTTCTTGTCTTGGCTATTGCCAATAATTACTCTAAATTTAGCTATGCTTCAGCAACATAAATGATGTGTAAATTGTTCCACTGAGATGGAAGTCGTCTTAAATATCTCCACTCGACGCATCAGGTAACCTGATCACAAGTTGCTCGAGGTGCTATTTCTTAAGCATATGGGAAATAGCCAGAGTCTGACCGACATGTGGGACAACGAGATACAAATTTCACAAACATGTACAGTAGCAACCAACCTGCGTGAGTGAAAGTGTCCCAACAGCTTGGGCTCCTGCCATCCTCAGCAACAGCACCCTCATACTATACAATGCAAAAGAAGAATCCAAATTCATTGAGTAAACATGGTTGAACTTTCAGCTCAAACAAGAAAAAGATTACTTACTTGATATGCCGAGGTTCCAGATCCAAAGACGAACTCCCGTGGGAAATCACTTCTTGTGAAGCCAAGGTCAGCGGCCGTTGCATCCTGAACCCAGAGGGACAGCAGCAGGAGGTAGAAGAAGGCAGTGACAGCACCCATCTATCCTTGTGCCTTTCTGTGCATAGTTGACTCCCTCCTCTCCGAGGAGATTTATATTAGACAGAGAGATAATCTCAACAGCAACCTCAACGACCTTACCTCGTCGAAATCAACCATATTAAGCACCATTTCTCTGCCTTCAGACCTGGTGGGGGTATGTGCAGCTGCAATGCCTGCTTGTCGGACTGCACATGGCATTTCTTTTCAAGAAAAAATATACCTGGGTCTTGAGTGTTGAGATATAGCATTGCATAATTTTTTGCCGGCTTGCTGAATTGGTTGGGTTCAACTGCCCCTTGAGCACTCCACCAGCCCCGTTTAAAAAATTGGACAAATGCGATTAAGAAAAGCACAGATCAGTATGAGCAGCTAGCACAGATTAAGAAAAGACGCACCGCGTTCATTAGAAGATAAAGTCCTCCGAATTGATAAGGACCGGCTGCGTTGCGTGCATCAAAAACTAAGGGCGGGAATGGGATGGATAGTGAGCATCAGCACCTGCCCCTCTTCTCCAGGTTCTCGCGCGCTGATGGAACTGCGGAAACGACCAGTTGACTATGACCGGGCAGCGGCAGTCGCTTCCGCTGACACGCCGTCAGCTTGCTGGACGGCGGAGAGCTCGGCGGCGCCGCGGAGATGGAGGAGCCAAGGGTTTCACGAAGGAATCGATGTGCCAAAGTGGAGGGGCGCTGCTAACGAGCGCTACCGGTAGTGCGCTGTTTTTTTAATCGTTTTTTTTCTCTTTTCGTTAATTTCCGGTCTGTTTAATTTATAAATTTGAAATAAAAGTACGGAAATATTTAAAAATATTGTGAATTCTAAAAAATGTTCACGCGTATTCAAAAAATGTTCACGCGTATTCAAAAAATGTTCATCGATTCAAAAACAATGATCAAAAGTTCAAAAAACATTTGTGAATTCACAAAAAGTTAATGAATTAAAAAACTTTCGTTAATACAAAAAAGTTCGCAAATTCAAAAAATATATACCACGCGAACACAAAAGATGTTCACGAATAAAATTTTGAAATAACAAACAAGTTTCAACGTCCCAAACAATATTAAATGTCAAAAAAATTGAAATTTGTGAAGATTTTTTGAAACCACAAACAAAAAATTAAAAATGTGAAAAAATAAAAATCATTTTTTAATATTCTGAACAGTTTTTGAAAACATGTAAAAAGTTTTAAAAATCCAAATAATTTCTTTAAATGGGATTTCTTTTTTGAAAAACACAATATTTTTTGAATTTGTGAACAAAGTTTGAAAACACGAACGGTTTTTGAATCTTCTGAGCATTTTTTCAAAACATAAACAAAATTTAAAATGATTCAAACATTTTTTTATTGCCTCTTGCATCCTATCACAAGCAAGCATTAGTAGCTCACGATCTTCCTCCTTAAAATATGTAATGTTAGAGCGCAATTTGCATAATCTTGGCAGGTGGGCAAAACTTTGTCATGATGGAACACAAGTTCAATGAGGTAATGGTTCCTCTACTCAAGGCTAGAAGCAATTCCTTAGCTTTTCCTCTTAGAAACAAAGAAAATAGACACAAACTCAATGTGTGACAGAGTGTGGCTCATAGTCTCTTATACGTTTCATATCACAATTCAGTGAAAGTATGAAAATGCATGATGGCATCTTCAGAAGCGTGGCCTCTGAATTGGTTATGTTGAACCAAAGTGATCAAGTGTGGTTTAATCTCACATCACTCGGCAACAACATTTGTAAAGTGATAGGAGGACGCATAAAATTCTCATTGGAAGTTGCAAACTCCCCAAGTTTCTTTGTCATGATATTTTTTCTGGGTTTTTCTACGATTACAAGAAAAAGAGACAAAAGATAAAAACTGAAAGATACCTTAGTCACCTAGCTAGGGTAGCGAAGATGCTTCCCCGGCTATTGTTCTTGTGAGAAGTTTCAATTTCCCAGACGGAACAAATAGTAGTTGTGACCGAGGGAAAGATCAAATAGATGGAAATAGGCATGGGCATGAGGGCTTTGCTTACAACCTTATACTTGAATTTAAGATATTATCTTATTTCCAACATGGTCCTGGTAAACACCGTTGTGATGTGCTCTTAACAACTAGATGTGGGGGATGCATCCAAATAATATCACGACTGGTCAGCAACCTGCATCGTATGTCTATTGTCCAACCAAGGTCCTTACTGTCGCGTGGGTTACCTTGATTATTAATGATTTCTCCAGACCAACGCATTGGGCATTTAATGACCGCACCTCATGATCCCCAAGGAGTTGCTTTCGGCTACAATACAAATCCTCACTGTCATTGATGTTCGGTGTAGCCTTCCACGTGTCCGTGCACTCTTCCTCCTGGGTCCATTTAAGGGATTCTGGGTACCTACAGAGTCTTAACGAGAAGAAGACAAGAGACAAATGCGTTGCACCTAACACACATCACGCATTAGAGTTATTATTAGTCATTAGTGATAACATTAGAGTTATTATCTTGGAATATCTGGTTTAAACAATGGTGGAAAGAGTGTAAACAATACACTCATCACGCATGATATCTTCTTCATTAGGGCCCTCTCTGCAACTTTTGGCCCCCGATGGGTGCTTGAAATCTCACAAGTGTAGGGAGTAATTTTAGATCGTTTTTATAAGTAAAAGTATTGATCCCATGAGTAGGTGAAGGAATTGGTAAGTGCAAAAATAGCAAAGATTCAGTGTAAATGCTAAAAGATGTAATCCTGTTGTGGTTTGTGGCAGTAGAGTATAGCAATGAAATGTGAGTAATAATAAAAAAAAGGTAAAAGCAAGTGTCTCGATCCTTAATAAGGCTAAGGACAAGCCGATTGTGTTACTTATGGTGATCAAACGTTCTTAAGGACTGTGGGAATATCACATGGTTGTTAATTCCATGATGATTTGCATTGATTACTGTTGCTTGGTCGGTGTCATGTGGATAGAGCCTACTGAATCACACATATTTATGATTGTCCTCTTAGCAATGCTCTGTGACTACTAGAAAAATTAAGGCATAAAGCCCAACCATAACCATCTCCTCTATGGTCTCTATCACCCCTCATGTTATAATTCATTAACTAACTGAATTGTCATCTCTGTCACCTTAGCCTTTCATACTAAACTTATTATAACATAATACTCTCCTCTAGGTTCATATAGGCAAAGTGATATACAGTCAACGTTCGCATACCATCAATGGAGAATTACACCACAACATGATCACACAATAATCTTTACTGCAAATATATATGAAACTTAACAAATGGAGTAGTTTTCTCCCATATCCTCAAGAACACTGCATAACTACTCATGAGCATCATGGTGAACATGTTCAGAGGTATAATGATAAATATGGCAGTTTGAAAGTATAAATCAATATATATGAAACATAATAATTCGAGCCTTTCATTTCTTCAACTTGCTCTGAAAGTAATGGTTTTCAAAAGAAAATACTACAGTAACTAAGAAGATAGTAGTGGTCACAGCAGCATTTCTAGTCTAGTAGTACTAATGTAATCCGAGAATCACGGTTTCCGATCGAAACCTCACGCGCACAGTAGTTTTCTCACAGCAGCAGCATACACAGTTGCACTGGACTCGGGAGTCAGGACACTAACGACGCGTTTGGTTCGCCAATTTCGCACCGCCTCCCGATTACATCGCTTCCCGAAAACGTTACGGGCGTTTGGTTCGGCTGGGCCGGTTTCCGTTGCCGTGTAATCGGATACGTCGCTTCGGAAAACCGAAAACAGGGCACACCGAGTGAAAACAGAAAACGCTCGTCTCCGTAATCAGATCCACTTTCCCTTCCTCCGCTCGTCCCAACCTCGCCTCCACCATGAGCTCTCCCTGTCGCCGCCACGACCTCCCCTCGCCGTCGGAGTAGGAACGCCGGCCTCTCACTCCTCCGCCGCAAGATCCAAAGCCGGACCTCTCCAAGCTCCGCCCCAAACAGCTGGTCCCCTTTCTTTCCTCGACGCGAACCTTCCCTGGATCGGCATCTTCGACAAGAACCACGGTGCGCCACCTCCCCTCTTCCCTCCCTCCTCTTCTTCTCGTGCTCTAGTGCCCGGATCTATCGTTTCCTTTCTCCGAACTGGAAGATCCAAGCATTTTTGCTGAACTGTACTCTGGTTAGGGCTTCAGACTTAGTAAACCAGTTGAGATTTGGGTACTGTTCATGAATGTGCGCATGACTGGAATATTTTGAGGGATTCTTTGGTGGAATTAGTAATTTTTGCTTCCTCGTCATACTGTGATTTGTTGTCCCCAACAAATGAGGTGGTGAGATCCTTTTCTCTGTTGGATATAGATAAATAAAGTAGTTGTATTGGATCACACTGCATTGTTCTGTGCTTATATAGGCTGCTTGTTGTTCAATCAGAATTTGATGCTTGAGAATTGCATGGATTGCTCACATTGTATTGTACTGTACTACCTCACTGTAAATCTGATGCTTACTGCATTACCTAGATTTTCTTGTGCCCTTTTGTTTTGCGAGGGTGATACTATAAGAGAATAGCTATGGAGGAGATAATATGAATAATATGAGTCATGCATGCCCTTGATAGGGAAGAGGCTGCTTGTTATTTAAAGAATAATTTGATTCTACAGTTTCTTGTGGATCACATATGCTGTACTGCACCGCTGTTGTGGCCTCAGTGAGAGTGTCTGATGTATCCTGTTTTAGTTTGTTAGGTTTGCAACATGTTTGGCACAGTTGCAGCGATGTGGTCTTATCTTTGCCAGCGCTATCAGCCCTCCGGTGATGCTCTCTACCTATTTGTGGTGCGCCAGGAGCACGCCCTCCAGCAAGGTGATTCTTCTGTTGATGAGTTCTATTCACAGTGCTATGCCATCTGGCGCCAGCTTGACTCTCTTCGGACAATTGTTTGTGGAACATGTCGTTGCTATCAGACTACTCGGTCTGATCTGGAGTTTCAGCGGGTCCATGAGTTCTTATCTCGTCTCCAGTCTGAGTTTGAGCCTTGACGTGCTCACTTG